AAAGCTCTTGCTTTTCTGCTGCTGCATTACAAAGTAGACAGTGAATCATAGCCCATCCATCTATTACGACATTGAGTCATTGTTGGAACGCATCTGAGTGTGTATTTGCCCAACAACTGCATTAAGTAGCACGAAAATAGTATTCTTTTTTGTGGGAAATTTTTTAGTCATGGCTAGAATTGTTATTAGGTAGTATCTGGTTAGGCTACCCAGTTTTCTTGAGCTAGATGCACAGTCATTTCTTTCTTGAAGTGGGCATTAAAAAGTTGTTTCTCAAGAGCAGAGTCTTTTTGCAGTATTGACGGCTTCTATTTTAACTTATTTTGTGTCCTTTTTATCATCACTTCTCTCCGAGTCTGACGTTCCCGTTTACTTCCCCATTTTCTTCCCCAATATGAACAGTTTCGGGTGATTGTTCGTACTTTACCCACTTAGTTCCATCACGTAGCACTGAACTGGTGTCATCTGTTTTCTATCAAAATTTACTGTCAAAGCTGTCATAACGCATATACCATACAGTGCTGTGATCGACAGTCGAACAAATGGAAAACACTTTTATGTTTCGTGCTGATTCAACCCGTGCAATGCACTCGCTATTTGTCAAATGCGTTTCCGTTTGGGTCATGGCTGGTTGTCCGAGAAATCGCTGTTTGTAATATATATTCTCAGAGCCGTGACAGTGGACATTTTTTTTTGCATTTCCGTACTTTGGCTATTTGGCTCCATGGAAACCAAGTTCAAGGACACGGTTGTCATGTCTCTGTAGTCTAATCTTGCATTCTGCAAAAAGTGATATCAAATGAAAAGCAAAAGTTTGAACTACAATTTGATCTATTTCGAAACTTGCCGTGCACAAAGAAGCTGTTGAAATTGAGTTTGCACTTTCAATCTTGTTTAGTAGCGTGCAAGTGCAGTATTTTCGAAACACGCGGAAATATTGCACAATCTTTCCAGAAGTTTCGAAAATAGTGGGTGTTTCCATGCACTCGTGCAAAACATCAATCTTATTGCTTTGCTTTCTTGCTCGGGTTCGTTCAAAAGTTGTGACGGATGAAAAAGGCAGTCTTGAGCAGAAAACACTTAGGGCCGCATGCACTAACATCCCCGCGGGGAGGGGATCGCAGCTTAAAAGAAAGCTTTATGTTTCGAAACTCCAGATATCTGGATTTCACGTTGTGTACCTATCCGTAAGTATTCCTACTATCTACCCTTCACTATGAACATGTTGAACAGGAGCGAGAAGCTGTACGAACCGCATTTTCCAGCTTTTGTATGATCCCTGATGATCCCCGGCGCTTTTCTTTGAAGTCATTTTTCTTTCTCCGAAGTTAACGAAAACTTTCCAAAGTTGCACTGAACATCTAACGCAACAGTGCTAAGCATGTTGCTGATGAGAACAAATGAGTTTTTGAAAAGTCGAATTTTTCGGTAAACCTCAAATTTCGACCTGTGGATCATCGAAAATTTCATGACTTCAAAACATCATTTGTTCTTATCAGGAATATGCTTATCACTGTCGGGTTAGATAATCTGCACAACTTTGGAGGTTTTTCGTTAACTTCAGAGAAGGAAAAATGACTTTGAAGAAAAGCGCCGGGGATCATCAGGGATCATACAAAAGCTGGAAAATGCGGTTCGTACAGCTTCTCGCTCCTCTTCAACATGTTCATAGTGAAGGCTAGTAGGGATACTTACGGATAGGTACACAACGTGAAATCCAGGTCTCTGGAGTTTCGAAATATAAAGCTTTCTTTTAAGCTGCGATCCCCTCCCCGCGGGGATGTTAGTGCATGCGGCCTTTAGAAACGTAACTAAAGGCGAGTTTTTAGTATTTAAAGTAAAAGTTGTCCTTCTAGTGGATTTTGGTTTCGTGTGGATTTTACTTCTACAGTTTTCGAAGTTTTCCATTCTTTGTAATAACGTTGACGCTTGCGAAATAAGGATTTACGCAATATCTGGCTAAAAGATTCTCATGGGAGCATGTGCACACTTTCCTCTAATTAATTAAAGAGCACTGAAGAGAGTAATCATCCGTTTCTCATTCGATGTGCTAAAATAGGCGTTTAATTAATTGCTCTGCAATCAGAAGCACATCTGTACCTTTGCTTAGCAAAGATATTTCTCAGCACGTTTCCTGCTAAATTGCTCGAAAAAGTACATTATCGTAATTGGTCGGTGCACTTTCATTCCAACGGTCTGCTGCAAAACGCAGCGAAAATGCGCATTATGTTTGATTTGCGGGCATGATGGCCGTTGGGCTGGAATTTACCACCCCTCTCTCCTCCAGCTCTATTTACGTGCACCGAATTTGCACTCGAATGGAATGGTGCTGGGATTGCATCAGCAGGAGGATTGCCTAGGACTCTGAAATTGTTTTGCTTTGAGAGGGTCTGTTTTACGATGGGAAAGGGAGGAAGGGAGTTAATGTTGTTCATGTGTGTGCAAAGCAGGAATGTAAGTGATAGGGAACAACGCTGCTGAATCATTCGCGGCATGACCGTGGATAGTTTCGCAACGTGTCGATGTGTGGCTACGTGTCCCAGCTGCTGCGCATAACGAATGCGACGTTGATTGCTTCATTCTACTGTTGAAGACACTTACGAAATAGGTTCTTGCTGTTTCTCATCGTAACTTCCACGTAAGCCCGGCCAAAACGCTGCTGGAACCATTCCGGCAGTAACGCAGGCGCCAAACGTATTCTCTCCATACATTTCATGATTTTACTTCAAGAATTGGCACTTTCTGGACGAGTTTTGCATCCGTTTGATGACTAATACTGAGTTCAAGCACGCTCCATACTTTATTCATCCACTTCTTCCAATTCTAGCAAAACGCGGCTGTACTAAACAACATCATTTGTCATTTGGCGTTACGTATGGTCAAATTTTTGCTTCGTTCAAATTTGCCTTACGCGACAGCAAATGACAAATCATGGCGTTTAGTGATGCAGAGTTTTGATTTGTATGGATGAAGTGGATGAAATAAGTATAGAGCGTGACAAACTACTGTTCGTTACCAAACGGATGCAAAACTCGTTTTCCAATAAGTGTCAAATCTTGTAAATAACACCCTGCTCTATTCTGCAAATGCACTTTTTCCTAACAGAGAGTATGTCTACTTGCTCCCATCCCAACCAACTATTTCTCCTTAGTCATCGTGTCTCATAGGACACGAGAGATGACGCGACCGACGGCGGCGGCAGCGGCCGCGCTGTCTTTCTGTTCTGTCCCGGCTACCCGCACCGCCACCATTCCACTATTGCCATCACTGTGGTTTCTTCCTCCCGTGATGCGCTATGGGTTGTGCTGCCTTGTTGTTTTGTTTGGGTGAATTTACCCATTAGAGTTGCTTTTTCATCTTTTGCACCCTTTCCGGTTCTCCCACAGAATCCGCTACACATGTTTCTCACTGAAGTGTACTTTTGGTGTAATCCCTCTGTTTACACCCATACCCATCTGTTCCTGTGGCTATTTTGGTTATCCTCGTTATTTTCCATGCATCGATCCTCTAAATGCAGATAATAGATGTTTTAGATCGTTTATCCTGTGTTGATTCTACTAAATTTCTCAATCGATATTGATTTATGGCCGCATCACTAAATGTCTGCATCATTTACTTGTTTTTATCATTGTGTTGGCACATGAACGATTTATATCGTTTTCAATTCTCTTTAAAGGTTTTACCTTTGAGCTTATTGCTTGCTTCAATAATTCACAGTAAATGTCAATTACAGACAAGATTTTTTCCTTTGTGTTTTCGTACTTTAGCATCTTGAGGTCATTCGACTAAAATGCTGACAAATTCTCTCATGTTTTTCTTTTTCCAATAGATAAGAGAATAGATTGTCTTATGACACATCCTGAACTGTACAGCGGTTTGTGAAAATGTTTATCTTTTTATGTGAATTCGTTCACTTCGTTCACTTCAGTTCTTTTCGTCTTTCTCTTGCACTGTCTGCTATCTTATCCTTGATTGTTTTTTCGGTGTCTGGCGCTGCATGCAAGAAAATGCGAGAGAATTCTCTCCATTAGTCAATCAGAAACTCAAGATAGTCTCCTGGTATTATCGAGAAATTACTTCATGTGTTCATGTGTGCTTCATCAAATGTCATATTCACTCTTACATTCAATAATCTATCGAAAATCCTTCTAAGACCTCAAGTCATTTCATCTCGGTGCTCTGCAAGTGTTTGATCTGTCCGATAAATCGACTTTCTATCCTATCCTCCTTTGGTTTTAAAAATATGTCCTATCCCTTATCGTTGGTTGTTTTTGCTGCAACAACTTTCATTTTCGGTTATTGGAGCATTTCGTCAGTATTTTTTTTTCACTTCTGTGACTGGCAAAGTGCTAATTACACTGTGTACATGTTATGATGCCTTAAAAGGCATCAAATTTCTTGACAATTATTACTTTCCATGTTTGTAGTTATGGCGGTTAGTTGCACACCCTCCTTTTCCAGTTTCCTTGGATCTTATGGGCAATATATTCTCTGATGTAAGAACCGCAATCGAAACTTGGCTTTTCTGCTGTTTTCCCTAACCTTCGCAAGAATATTTTTTCTGTTGTATGGTAATGCTATTGCTTCAACTCCATCTCTGGTGAACATGTTTGCCGTTCCTTCAGTTCTTCAACTCTTATGTAATTGAATTTCCTCCATCGATATACCAACCAAAGTTCTCTTCATCGAGACCGGTTCGTCTGCGCACAGTGTGTGGTCTCGCATGCACAATGTCATATGCGTTAAAATTCTGAGTTCGATCGAATGCATCGTTTTTCGTTTGCTCTCATGACCAAAATGTTCTTGCAATGTTTACATTCGACTTCGGGTGGCCTGTATCGGTCCGATTGGGCTCTGTGTCTGCGTGCATTTGGCGCTATTTTCCTAACGTTCACTGCACAATTTTCGATGACGTATACAGTGATAGTCTAAACACACATATTCTGCTCGGAGCATCCCTCGAAATTCTGATGCATAGTTGAGAATGATCGTTTATTATAGAAACAAATTCGTCGGAATGCGCGTTGCATGTGCTCTGAACAGTTGTTCGGTCAAGAATGTCTTTTTACGTTGCAGGTTCAACTCCTCAGACTAAAATTCCTGAAATTTCTCTATATTCATGGTATCGACCTGCTCTCCTACCCCTCCGACTGTACCAGGGGATCCGCTTGGGATAAACTTTGAGATTATGAACCAGGTAACCTAACCGTTCATCCACGTTCGTTGCCTTTCCATTGTGTGCTCAACAAGCGGCTTACTTACTTTGCCTCAACAACGAAGAAAGATCGAATTACTCTCTCGTCTTTCAAGATATCCGTATCGCCACTAAGCTCGCACGAAAACGAGAACATGGATAATGTGCTCCAGTCACAGTCACCTGGACTAGAATTATCCATCGGAGAGATCACCGTCGCCTCGGCTGTGGCCAGCGAAAAGGCCCGAATCCGACAGCAATCGGCCATGCTCGACAAGGTAAGTTGTCCGTCTGTTCGCGAAGTTGACAGCTGTTCGCTCTTTGTCGGCGTAATGATGTGGTTTTGAGTGGCTAATGGCCAACGGTGGAAATCTTTATCCGTGTCGTGAAGACAAAGAAAAACTTGCCGCGCAAATGAAGATGACCTATTTGCAGGTGAGTAGCATCATCATTGTTTTTCTGTTTCATCTTTTGCGTTTCCATCGCTAGTTGAACCACTTTTTTCTGTTAGAGATTTATTTGCGATTATAATATCTGTATTGGGTTTCCCATTTTTGACGACAGCTCATAAATGGCTTGTCAGTTCTGCAAAAGATTGTCATCAAAAATCTGCGAGGTATTGCTGATATTGCAAAGTTTTTTTCTGTATCAGCAAGAAGTTACTTTATGGTGAGCGCTACTTGTGCGAACATGAGCGCTACTGCCATGAAAACTTAGGAGGATACTATTTTGGGATACTGTTAATATATACTTTGATTCGATTATCTTGTTATCAAATGATTCATATTTGTTTGATGGAGCTTCAGAGCCATTCTAGAACTTTTCAAAAAGAGTCTTGATAGGGAGTATGGGTTTGCCCATATCTTATGCTTTACAGCTAGCTGCAATTTTCAAATTCCTCGTGTCGAAATGTCAGAAATCATTCTAAAAGTTTAAGTCGTACATCTCCGCCGTAATGTTATGCTCTCGCCGTTTCATCGTCTTTTCTCAATCGTAACGTCAGTACATATATATTTTTCGCAACTATACGATGTACGACTGCCGTGTAAACGGTTACGGTACAGCCATATAGTAATTGCTAGTTTCTAGCTATATTCTGCGGAGATCCCCCGCCGATATCTTCAGAGTACGTCGTTTGCGCACACGCGCACTTTGATGCATCGTCAACGACGTCGGCGCGGCGCGACCCACGACGCCCATTGACCCTTCAGCGCTGTGCACAAATACTCTGTGTAGGCCATAAGTTTTTTCGCTCAAAACTCCGCATTTGTGGTTTTTTCTTGGATTGGAATGGCCAGGAGAAGAGTAGTGGCGTCAGGGATGAAGAATTGGAGAAGTGCAAGTACAAGGAATTTTTACGACCCTCGGCGTTTCTATACCTTATGGTCTTGCTGTCTTCGTCACCAGCGTAAAACGTGAAGACAAAGACGCAAGTATTCATAAAAGTTATGGCATCTGCTGCTGACCTTTAGTAGTATCATAGCGCTGACCTCGCCTTTGATGCTGTTTGAGCGATGAATGTATGCTTTGCATAGGTAATCATTGTATGTGGAAGGGGGAGGGGGCTTATTATGGGGAGTAGGGGGAACAGATTGGAATTGTAAGCTTTTGTTGGTTATCCAGCTGGATCACAATATCCGTATCTTCCTTATAATCGGGAAATAGTTGGTATTATTGTGAAAATTTTTGACATGCCTTTGCTTCATACTTTTTGTTTGTTTCGTTCGTAGCAAAAATTGTTATTTAAATGTTCATGGTTTATCTGATAGGAGCTAGATATTGTCGAGTCATTTCTTACTAATCTGCATGTTGCACATCATGCGCGCTACTTGACGGCTTGCAAGATTAGTAACCACTCAACTCCAAATTTCCCCTTTCTCTTGTCTCTTTTGAATATCTTCGTTAGTAGTACACATTTTTGCAGTTTGTTACTTTAGAAAACTTTACTTTTCTGACAAGTTACTGCTAAGGGTGTCGTCGGTTGCTACGCATAATGTGCAGGCGCACATAGTAAATTACGAATGACCACATTTTTCGTTTCACTTTGCTCAAGTGTTTGCCCCAGTCGGTTATCTAAACGTCGAAATTGATCTATGTAGTGGGACTAGATACAAAGTAAAGTTTGAAAACTCAGAAACTGGATTTGCGTTCTGGCATGGAAGACAAAGGGAACTTGGTCTTACATGCCAGTAAACTGTTGGATTTGCGTTCAGCACTTCATCTTCCATGCCACTAAACCGTTTTCCGTTCTTGTCACTTTCTCTTTACATCATATAGTCTTCTGTGCCTTCTTTTGCACGTCCCTTTGCCAGAAACTTCGCGGAGCTCGTCAGCCGTGGTGACTAGTTTCCCTTGCAAACGCTCAATTCCCGCTTTCGCATGCACTTTCTGCAGTTCTCCCCTCGTCTTTGCAACGTGCGCCTCGTGCAAAGAGCCGCGCCGAACGTGCACTTTTGCGTCTGGATCCGTACCGAAGAAAAAAAGCAATTGCGCAATTCCCCTCTAGTGTTTCATTGCTGCGTTGGCCGTCATTGTGTCCATTGTGCGAAATCAGCACGTTCTTTGGTGCGTTTGCTATCAAAGCGCACAAGCAAATCACTTATTCAGCAATGTTACTGCTTGCCGTCAAGACCCTGCTCTGATTAGAGGGGGGTGGGGGAAATAAGTGAATTTTTTTTGTTAGCAAACTGAACCTGGTGATATAATAACAGTAGAGAATGCAGCAGACTTTGTACATTGAGGCTATTTTAGTTCCCGAGTAGATGTTGTGTACATAATATTGTCTGCAATTACAGGCCAGACTGTTTTTGATGAATCTGTTGTGTTGATCGATTTGAAGGTTTCAAATTACTAACAGCTGTTAGTCGTTTGCAGAATTCATTCTATAAAAAATAATAAGAAGAAGAAATGTGTAAATAACCACGCAGCTCTGTTTCGTTTTCTATAAACCGATTCTGCAAAGACACTAGCCAAGAGAATTCTTGCGATTTTTGGTGCGTTATCAAGAACATAGCACGACTCTGATCTTTATTGCCTGCGACTGGGATGATTTTGGCAGGCATTCGAAAAAGGATGCTTTTGTACGATTTGGCAACCCATCCACTCGACTGAAGATTTCCCGAGTAGCAGCGAGCGAGCTGCTTCAATACTTGGGTGCGACATCTTCACCGATTGTTTGGGTCCCTCTGGGACGGGGTAGACGAGGAGGCGTCTATCATGTTTACGAAGCACCGCGAAAGCGGATTATCTTGTTGAAAGCTTCAGTCAGCCGCCGTTTATTCGCTCAGAAAAGTGGCCAGGTGAATCAAATTCGAAGTTTAAGATGAGATTGTAGTGAAGAAATATATCCAGAGTTCTGGGAGAAAGTGAAACAGATGCAGAAATTGCAGTTGTCTGCGATACGATGTCATGTCGCATCTGTCAAGCTCTTATTCCTTTGTCTGTGCCTCTGCCTCACATCATCCTCTTCCCCACTTTTTTGAGCCAAAGTGACGGCGATGTCACATTTTGAAAGCAGCCCGAGTCCAGATTTGGACCAACCGCCTTCTCCCTCGACGGCACAAAGGCCATCAATCAACGATGTGGACCAGATGGTATCTGTGCCGATGACAAAATAGCATGTAGTCGTGAGAGAATTCAAGTTGACGAATATTCAGCTTGACAAGGAAAGTTTCCTTTTTCACATAAAGCTGGGACGAGTTTCGTAGAGGATGAGGTGGCATTGCAGCGACGGGATAAAGCGAAACGGGGGAGGAAAGCCGAAAAAAAGAGGGCAGCAGGTGGTGTAGGACTCAGCGGACTAATGAGATAGGAGACGTAATTGATCACTGGTTTCGAATGACATCACATTTGTCATCGTTTTCTTTTTATATTTTGAAAGCTGTTTTTTTTTATCTTACTCTGACTGTGGTGGTGTCAGAAATTATCAGAGTACTTTTTAGAATTATGAATTAGCGGCAGTGTGAAATTTACATTAATCATATCATAATTTTTTTTCGAATTACCCTTTGAACATGATCGTGAACTCCAAACCTAGGCAGACTCAAAATTTATCCTTTTCGGTTTTCAGCTATGCTATTTTCATCTGTGTTCGTATTGCTGAACTCTTCCTGTTTCTTTTCTTACTGACTCGGGGTGACAATTTGCTAAAGTATATTTTTTTGAGACCTGAACATCAAAAACCGGTCTAATAACCACTTTTTCGTTCAGTTTTTTATCTTTACGTTTTTTTTTGCGCGTTTCATGTTTCGTAACCACCTGACTTTTCTGATTGCCTTGCTGAAATGTTGAAAATTCTTTCCGAGCCCTATCAGTCGGTGTATCCCCTGCGGGAATATTTGCCTATTTTTGAAAGTGTCGAGTGTAGTCACACGCTCGATGTGTCTGCGTGCGGCCCCTCTGCTGCCCAGCAGTCGATTTCGTTAATGATAGCGTGGGAAAATACGAAAACAAGCGTGTTTTCGCGCCACTGAGGTGCTTCCCTTGCCTGCGTTGCTGAATCGCTTGGCGCTAAATCTGTCTTTCATTAGGTTATACTGTCCATCTTTGGGTTGCATAGAGGAATGAGAAGCTCTTGGAAAATTTAATCGAACAACCCGAAGTGCATGGGAGTGAACGTGCAGCTGAAATTTGCTTATGTGGCTGCCTAGCAACAGCGATACATACGCTGTTCCTTCGACGTTGTTTTTTGTTTATGTCGGCAAAAAAGTGGACAAAAATAACTAGAAAATTGAGCAGCGCTAATATGATGGAGTGTTTTGGATGCAGATTTAGTTATTCAGACTCAAAATGCGTGCGTGAACGAGCAGTTGTTGATGGCGAGAATAGCGGTCATGCATAATCACGCTGTTGTCGCGTTCGTGTCTGGAGGTAGAAGCTTTTAAGGAATGCTGCAATAAAAATAGAACATAATGGAGTGCTTTTAGATTTTTTGGTCAAGTCTTGGCAAGCATCAAGTGGCTTTTTTTATGCCAACGTTCTTAGCTGTTCTGCCCATGTGTGTTTTTCCCCATATATCCCCGGTAATGCGAAATTAAGGTCACAGAGCTATATAATCCTTTATCACGAGGAGATGTTCGAGTAAAAAACCCATCCGCCGAGTCAATTAGCCGCATTCTATCGCTAATTGCAACCCTCTCTCTGCGACGCAGTGGAGACGTTTGCAGCCGGACGTCAAAGGCATCCATTAAGCACAGCCAAAAGGGCTCTCAGAAGCCAACAGAAAGAACTCCATGCATTGTTGGTGCTGTGACGGCCTTCTGCCTGGATGAATAATGGATTTGCTTTGGAAGAGTTGTCTTTGCTCTTTGGAGCTTTTGAATCTCATTTTTCCAAAGTTCGATCGATATTTTATACACTTTCCTTTTTTACACCTATTCGTTCATCCAGTGCTGTTGAGAGCGGTCAGGCTGAAGTGGGGCCCTTCAATCTGGCCGCTCACTATACATCTCGTTCAGCCCTCGAGAGATAAATCCCTCTGCTGTGTCCCTCAGCTCCGAGTCGTTAGGCGCTGCTGTTCTGAACGCTGAGTGGGGCGACGGCGACGTCGTTCCCGTTTTTTCCATTAGGCTACAATGCGCACTCGTTCATCCAGGCCATTTGTCTTTCCGGCGGATAGCGGTCGCTTATCTTACTCTGCATGAATAATTTCATGCCTCTATAAAGCTATTAATAGCAGGTGCATTGGGCAAGTAGTTTAGTCTTTCAATCAAACTTCTATGAATAAAGACACTTCATCATATCGAAGACGGGTTGTATGGACATCCCTCGTTCCCACCAGCGGGTCCCCGAAAACACAGCGCGGGGTGCTCGGAACCCGTTTGTCGATAGTGCGAAACAGGTGCAGATGCACCCTGCTGTTTGGGGAGTATCCGCAAATGCACGCTTAATTTACAAAGTGGCACTAGGGAGATGAGGAACTTTGCAAGGTTTTGAAGGGTTCATATTTGGCTTTTTGGCCACTGCTTGACTTCAAAATTGCGTGCTATACTTATTTTCGAGTGTAATCGATAGAACAGTGGAACAAATGACTTTTTTCTCCTTGAGGAAACAACAAGATAAATTTGCTAGTTCGTAGCTAGATGTTCAGAAAGCTCGGGAGTTTGTTCATGAAGTTTAAAACCGGTTTTTCATAAATACGAAAGTAAAGTAGTGTAGTTTGAGCACATGGGATTCTAAGCTGTAGTTCAACCGCTTTTGAAACCTCTAATTCTTGCCCAAAAGATTTTTTGAATAGTACGTTTCATTATATTGCTTGATAATTTTGACGGAATTTTCTGTCTTTCGTTCTGTCTGTTATGCAATTTGAAATCTTAGTACGGAAATGCGTCTCAACAACATATACTTTTTAGGTTAACCGTTGGTTTGCGAATCGACGCCGGAAGCAAACAAAGCGCACAAAGGTAGGTTTTTTGTGCGAGCCTTTTCCTCAGCTAACCGTTCTCGGAAGCAATTTTCTCATCGATTCCGGCTTCTTTCCATCCGTGATTGATGTGTATGCATGCTAATTGGAATTGGAAAAAATCACTACGCTGAGGTTTCTATTTTAGACGGTCCCCTCTCCAGCTAGTGTCACTCCGGTGACAGTCAATCAAGAGAGTACATCGCGACCTACGACGCCAATATCCAAGGAGAATGTAATGGCGCAATTAACGCCAGATGTGATCTCTGCCTTCGCACAAGGTGAGTAGTATTTTCTGACTTTATTGGTTCTAGAATATACTTTATTTAATGCTCTCTGAAAGGTTGTGAGCATCGTAAACTCTGAAAATCATGTTTCGTGGGAATTTTTTTAGAGGATGTTTATATTTTCTATCTTTTTCATCTCAGTTCTTTCACAAAGCATGATAGACTATTGATTAAAAAGCGCTATTACCTGTCATTACAATCTCCGTTTTCTTACTCTCTGAATGCCTTTCCTCGGAATATTTTAGTCGCTTTAATTCATGTTATTTCTTCCCATTCTTTTCCTTCCGTACTTTCTGCGTTAATCTGGAAATGATGAAACTTCCGAATGCATCTCATGCTGCGAATTTGATAGATTTTCGTCCTTGACAGCCTTGTGAATCTCTGTGTCTGAAACTGGAAATATTCGATGATAGATTATCGTTGTTTTTTGCTGAACAACTTTAGTTCCTTGTCATCGAACTTTGGACTTCGTTCCACCAACAACTCAGCGTTGGTTGATTTTTACACCCCGTCTTGCGTCCCAGCTGATTATGTTGTGCTGTCAGATTAATTGTTTGGACAGAAATGTTTTCTATCTGTCCAATGTATTTCATTATTTTTGTGAGTGTTTTCCTCCCATTTGGGAAATTTGATTCGGCATTTCACGAGTTTTCGGAGGGAAATGCATTTATCACGCGGGCGTAATGCATGTCTATATCTCGCTTGCCCGAAGGTTTGCTCGCTTTTTGCTTGCCGCCCATTTTATTTTAGTGCTGGAAAGTAGACGTCGAAACAATAATGCGGTCATGTGATTTGATTTTTTTTTGAACGCCACGAAAGCGTGAAGTGCATGCTGACCTTTACCTCGTGATCTGATTATGATAACATCACTAAGGGAATGTTATGTCAGGCAGTATCATGCACTTTCCAACCAAAAATTTGTTTCTAAATCTGATCATACCGGAATTTCCATTTTTGGCGAAGCCTGTGACACCCTGTTTTCCTCTCATCCAGATTCCACCACACATCGCAAACAGCCGCCGCCAGGTGATTTTTGTTATCCATTGTGGCTGTTATCGCAGCACCTATATAAAGGGCTCTGTTCTAGGTACTTGATTTGATAAACAACCATTTTTAGCACTCAATTCGAAATACCCATTCACATTAAACCTACAATCTACTAGTGCTGTGCACTTTTTGTTTACATCGTTCGTGGACAAATTCGCCGCGATGTCTAGCGCGACCACTCGAGGCTAGCAAGCTAGCTAGCAACTGCGGTGATCCGTTCCATCCCTCTGTTCTCTATAATGTTCTTCTTGCCGGATTTCCAATTATCTCAGCTAGCCTGGAGCTTTTTGTGTTCTCTCAGCGCGTACACTTTGGGTGCTGCGGTTTTCGGGAATAGCTACATTGGTGCTTGGTGTTCTCATTTAGAATTTGTGTCAAAGGATTGGTTTTTGGATTAGTTTGATTCAGCACAAGGAAAGAATTGTAGTAATATGGAAATTTATCGCTATTTCAATTTACGTGGGCTCCAAAGGAAGTTCTGGAACCTTCTGTCTTCTGGTCTTTGTTAGGCACTGCGATTATAATAAAGGACGGACAACCGCCTTCATAATGCATCGCAGCGGCAGATTATAGCAGAGAATAGTCATTATTGGCCATCTGTTGAACATGCTTGGCAGACGCTAAGCTCTTTACCGCAAAGAAAGAGGAAATCTAAGCTGGTTTTATGGTGTCTGGATGGCGTTATATGAAGGGCAATAATGGTAGTCATGGGTGTTGTGTATGTTGATCCAATTAGTTGAAGGAAGTAATGGCCTACCATTAATTGTTTATGTTTTTGAATGATCAGACAGTTTTGCCGTTTACTGGGTTTGAAGGCAGTGTCCGCCTAAAGTGAGGTTTTTGGGATTTTGTTGCTGTATAATAGCGGGGCCCCTGAATAAGTAATTGTCCAAGTTCCACTGCCAAGGATGAATTCCTTATTGTTAGTAGAAAATTCGCTCTAGAAAGTAGAAGCAGCGGTGGCCGCCTCGCCCATCAGCGTGGGTGGTCTGGAGATACAAGTCCTAAATTGGGCTCGAATGTGTCCAACATGTCGCAATCCGTCTTTCATTATAATTATCAGACACCCGACAGCTTTGGATACATTTGAGCCCAATGTCCGGTCTGTTTCTGCAGATCACACTTTGTGGGCGGGGCGACCACTGATGCCCATACTTTTTAAAGCGATTTTCTCGCTTCGGAATTCAGCCTTTGCAGCGGGATTTGGGCATTTATTTAGCTAGGAGCCCCGCCATTCTACCATATCAAAATCCCACAAGCTCCTTCAAGTTTGGGAAAGAAACAATATCTTTGGGTGCGAGTAGGTTGACATCTGTACCAGCCTTGCACTTCGCATTTCTTAGGCGATATTCGCGTTTTTAACTTCTTTCGTGGTTCTTCTGGCATTCTCGTTTCTGTATTCACATCTCCTCCGTCCCTTTACGTTGAAAGCTTCTAAATATAAGCTTCTGCGTTCATAACTGAACTGCCTAAGTGTTTTCTTCTAGAAATGGAAAGCTTTCCCACTTGAGACGTGCACTATTGTTGTGATGTTAAGTAGCGTCGTCGAAGTAAATAGTAACGCGTTCCGATTCAGTCGTCGTCAGTAACTGAAGCGTAAATCTATTCTGACGTTCGAGTTTGTGTTTCGTGATGTCTGTACATGCCATGCACTCTATCTCAGTCGCATGCTTTTTTAATCTCGTACGATGCCACGCGCTCTTTAGCGACTAAAAATACTCCCAGCACTAGTACAGCATGCACGTGAAAGATTGCTGAAACTACTCAAAAATGCGTTTTTTTTTCTGTTTTTGAGGTTGTCGGTGCGTATGACTTCGTCAGCAGTAGTAGTAATATAGTAGAGTTGAAGGATCCTAGGCGGATAGAGAAGCGCACGTGTGCGATTAATTGCTATGGCGCGTCGCTTACTTATAGAATGGCGAACGCATAATTAGATCGTGTTAGCCGATGACCTCTGCTAGAGTAGTGGATTAGCTGAAGCAGAAAGGGAAGTATACGAAAGGGACCTTGTGAAGTATGGTCGTAGTGGATCGCTATTCTTTGAAAATGCGCGTTAATGGACTTTCTGCCCTATTAATCCACTATCGGATCACATGACCATAGTTTTTTCTGCTTTCGAAAATAGTCTCACCTCATTATGTTCGCCTGTTCTCTTTTTCCCCCACTTTTTCAATCCCCGCATGACTTCCATGGCTCGCATGCCGGAGCTGTGTCGGAAAACCACAGGAGAGGTTGCTAGGCGACTTATTCCTAGCTGTAAACTAGCCTGATATCTGGAAAACACCTATACTTAGTGCACATAAGCTGATTCGAAAGATATGGTGGATTACCGGATTGGATTCTTGGAAATGGCTTAGCGTGATTGGAAAAATCTGCTGGGTAGAAGATGCATATTGAGGCCATGTTGAACGGTCACGTTGATTCTAGTGGATCACGTCTTTTTATTCTTCTTTGCATCTAGCAGCCATGCACAACTTTGCAAGCCTTTTCTTCCATTGTTACGTGCTTATTACACCGTTTGGGTAATTGATGTTTATTAGAAAGCTTTATAAGATCTTAGATTTAGATAGATCTTCGATCTAGCCTGTTTTTAGGATAAGTCACATACTCGTAGAAAACAATTTTGCATTATATACGCGACGTAAACAAGTTATGAATGAGGCTTTGCGAAAGCTTGACTTCTCTTTCCGTTGAGAAGGGCTAAATCGGTTATCTCAAGCGTTAGCCGCATTTTTTCCGGGGAACCTCTCCGATTGTGACTCATCTCCGTTCCAGTTTTCGCAGAATCTCTCTGTGAGCTTTTTTGAGCTGTATTGTGCGGTGCGAAATGATAGCTGCGATTCCATTGCACTTCTTTTGTTACGTAATGTTTTTGTTATGGGATGGTTTATATGCCAGCGAAAAATGCTTTCATCTTCCTGACATATTCTAGAAAAATCGTATGGAATTGGATTGTGAAAATGCGTAGCGGAACTAAAGTTTTACATGATTGAAGTTGCGTAACAAAAGGAGAGTTCAAAAATGGCCTTGTACGTGACCTTCGAAATTGAATATTGCGAATGGCGCCCGAATAAAAGCTGCTTGGCAGATGCCCCGCTGTTACATTGATCATATCGCTGCGTGCTAATGCACTCTCTATCTGTCAGACTGGTTTATAGTCGCAGATAGGGATAGACCCAGGACAAGTTTGTGACCCCAAACTTGCCCCCTCGCTCGCTCTAAATAAAGCTGCTTAACGATCCGGTGCAGATCATCTACGCGAACGTGCACACTTACGTAGTCACAACGTACGTGGTGCACGTTGCGGCTGCTTGTCGCACCCGTCTCCTCGTTTTTCCGTTTTCTTTCGCCTTTTTTCTGCACCGACCGCGAGCGCACTTCTCCGGTCCTCGACTCAACCAGCCACTGACGCGGAGTCTGCGCGTCCTCCGTAGGCTACGCTGTCTCGCGCAACTGTGACTTGCGCGCCTCTCCGCTAGCGGCCGCACTCCACTGAGCGTTAGAAACTCTGCGTCTTCCGGACCTTGCAGCTGCGTAGTGTCGTTCGCCGTGTCTCCGCTCTCCGCTCCGCCGACGGCTGCCTCACCGCGGCCCGCGCAGCTGCGCGTTCCCCCTTCTCTAGCTCTGGTTCTCTCAGCCGCACACAATACACAGTGTGCGTCGTCGTCGGCCAGTGCGGCGGCCCCTCGCTCAGCCGCGCCCGCTCCGCGGCCTGGCCGGGGCCGCCCGGCCTCGGTGCGCCTCGTCGATTCATCCTCTGTCCCTAGCACCCAGCACACCCCACACTGCTAGTGCCGACGAGGCTATAGCTATAGCTTTATTGCTCTGAGGCTTCGCATAGAGTTAGGGCACGTGATCTTATCATTACTCTTAGTGCTTCATTTAGTGCTGAAAAGACAGGCTTTCTGCTCATTTTGGATTCTTGTCGTTCTTCAGGGCGCTTGGGC